CGGCAACGGCAATGACAGCTTGCTCGAGCTCCGTCTTGTTATCTGCACTTTACTGGGACCTAAAATCAATAACTGGTTTAATGGTTAGTAGAAGGCAATCCCTGATCCTAACACTTGTGCTCAATGTGTGTCACGAGAGATAAAGTGCTAGCATTTGTTGTAGCTGAATGTTGTCTTGTTTGTTTTTAGCCACATCGTACCTGGTGTCAGTGAAGACAGGTGATGTGCGTGGAGCGGGCACGGACGCCAATGTTTTCGTCCAAATTTACGGTGATAAAGGCGACACTGGGAAATTACAGCTTCGAAGTGCCGAAAACACGAAAAACAAGTTTGAACGAGGCAGGACTGATCAGTTTGTTCTTGAGGCCGTGGACATCGGAAAGGTTAGTCCTGGTACTTGGTATTGGCAAATCGCGTAGAGATGAATCATGAATAGATCATATTGCTCTGCCGTGTTCTCAGTACCCTCTTACCTGCATTTACTTTTTAAGTCCAAATAGTGATTAACATCAGTTTTCTCCTAACGATTTCAATACATAATCACGTAAAGGTTATAGGAGTTAATAAAATGATCACCAAGGGGAAAATGGTTTGATCTTTTTTCCAATTCTCAAACGAAATATAAGGAAATCAGTTTAGAGAATTTGTATGTGAATATTGGGACTTAAAGGTTAAGCGGTGCCCCTTGGGGAACCGTTTAATTCAGCGTTGACCAGCGTAATAGTTAGTCGAGAAAATATGACGGTGACCTGGAGAAATGTCCTTCAAACGACAAAATAACCTCCATAGTGAATACATAAGAAAGATGATTTTTCAGTCAGGGACACAGACGGCACGGTGAAAGTGAAAAAGGGTCGGCCTCAGCTCCCACAGGGTATGGTTTTCAGGGTCTTGAGTCTTAAACAATAATAATATAATTAATTAATAATAATATAATTTCACTATTAAGCGTCTTGAGGAGGGTGTCTTTTCAGACCAAAAGCCTTAAACAGGGTGTGAATTTTCGCGGTATGCGGTCCACATGTGTAACGACGTTTTTTAAAATAGTCTAATTTTGTTCTCCCCCCACCCGCTCCGGGCTCAGCTCCCATCATTCTCCTGTAGCTTAGTAGTAGAGCATCTCAACTAGTAACCGGAAGGTCATGGATTTGACTCTTATTGGGTGCACTTGGATTTTTCTTCCGAGCCACTTGTTTCACTGACTGAAAAATCATCTTTCCCAACAAAAGAAAATAAATAACACGCCATGTACTGATGGTGCGTCTTAAGTAAGCGACCGTTAGTAGGGGTGAAGTCAATAAATAATGACTCGTTGGGAGTGGGACCTGAGAAAACTGCCTGCGACCGCTTTATAGAAGTCGTTTTTACTGAAATTAGGGCGAATGATTTCTGTCACGTTGATGAGTGACGGTTAAAGGAGCTGTTCACGAAAATTATCACTGAGAATTTCAACGGAGGCAACCGCTACTAAACTGAGTAAAACATAAAAATAACTGCTCAAAACATGAAACGAAGGTATAAACAACACTGCAGATGTAAAAGGAGAAACAAAGTTCAACCAGACAACTGTGACACCGCCTCTCAAAGGAAAGTGATTTCTGCGACGTTGATAGGTGACCGCTTAAAAGGGGGTGAATGTTTCGTATACGTTTGAATGTATTCTTTCCTTTTACAAAAAAAGCAGCCTGACACTCTGCTCTGTATTTTTCCTAAGACTGAAATGCTACGCATCTCACACGATAATAAGGGAACAAATGCAGGGTGGTTCCTGGATGACGTCACTGTGGATATTCCGTCACGTGGTGATAAAGTGGTTTTTCCTTGTCACCGCTGGCTAGCTGACGATGAGGATGATGGGAAGATTGAGCGGGAATTGTATCCTGGACAGCAAACTCATACTAATCCAAGTAATGACTTTTTTTTTGTTATTTATTTGTATACTGTTATTTATTGATAACTAACCGGTTTCTTTCTTTTCTTTCTTCATGATTCTTCACCATCTCATAAAATGAATTGAATTTAAAAAGATTAAAGATTGTGAGATAGTTTCAGGGTAAAACTTAATTTCCATTCTAGGGCTACCCTCCTTTTATAATCGTAAAACTTGCATCTGCACACTGAAAAACTTTTGAATCTAAGTACAAAGAAGTTAAGAGGGAGACTTCACTGAAGGAATTAGGAGCTGGGTAGTACAGTCCAACCCCGCTTAATAAGGACACCTCATTATTACGGGCCGTTTTTTTTTGTCCCTGGGGAAAGAAAGCCCCTACATTTTCTTTAAATTCAACCAGCTTAATGCGGTCACCACTTTTAACAGGGACACTTTCCATGGCTCTCTCAGTGTCCGTATTAACAGGGTTCGACTGTCTTTTGTTTTTTCCCGCTCTAGGAGTTACATCAATGTAGTATTCACACAGAAATAGTCTGCGAGCAAGCTTTCCAGTTGGGGGGTATAGTGAGAAGTTAGGAGCGAGCGGCACGCATGAGGAGACGCGCTCTCTCGCGCCCGTCGCTTCGCTCGCCACTCGAAATGGAGAACTTGCTCGCAGGGTAACTTAGAAAGTACTCTCTTAGAATAATGTCATTCTGCAAATCTGATCGCCTACATAAAACAGCACTCGCCTGCTAATCAAGCCGGCAACAAATTTTGATTACTTCTCTTATCTTTGTTCAAAGGAGCAAGATCGTTCTGTCAAATTGTTACTACAACTAACTAACCTGTTGATTTTATTTTCTCGATTTTTTGCGAGTAGAGGTCCCATACGAAGTGACAGTGTACACTGGAGATGTGAGAGGGGCTGGCACGAACGCTAATGTGTTTCTAGTCATGTATGGTGAGAATGGCAAGTCAGACCGGTTTGACCTGAGGAACAAGTCTGACAACTTTGAAAGAGCACAAGTAGACAAGTTTAAGGTAAATAGTAGTTGATTTGACTAGTTTTAGAAGCAAATGTAAATTCTCCTCGTTTTTGTGACGTCCTGTGGAGTAATGACGTAAGCAGCGTGGCGAGTTCAAGTCCCGCTCTGAGCTGGATTTGTTCACTGTAGTCCCGGGTTCAAATTCTCGGCCACCCTTGTAATTAGCCAACTGGTTTGCCTCCGGCCAGTTGGGATTCTTAAGCCTGTTATGTTTGATTTGGATTATTTGTTTTATGCAGTTGCTCGGCCCCACCGGCATTAGTGCAATAAATACTGCCGAGGGTAAATAACGTAATTAAAATTTATTATTATAAAGTTTATCAAAAGTAGGTATGAATAGGACTGTTGTTGTTGACAGTGACTGACGTTTCGACAACCTGTGCGGTAGTCATCTTCAGAGTCAAAGTGAGTTGTATCACGTCAGTTGATGGTATTATACTCTGGTTATTGATTGGATTGGTCAAGATAAATATTTTACACATAAAAGGGGGTGTGGGATGATTAGAGCGGCATAACAGCAGCGTATCTTGGCATTATTAGCGGTAGGCCCCTGTTGAAAGATTCCTTTCAATTGACAGGTGGAGAATGAAGATGTTGGACCGCTCTTAAAAATTCGGATTGGACATGACAACAACGGAATGGGTTCAGCCTGGTTCCTGGACAAGGTAACAATATTCCTGGTCGTAGTATGAAAAACTTAAAATATATAGCCTTTTTTAACCAATTATAATTTTTTTACGTCTTGGGATAAGTGATTTGAAATCTTCTAGCCTGTAAGCAGCCAGCCTGCTACGCAAGCGTTTCCGATCGACTTAAAAGTTACAGTAAAACGTGCAACAAAGAAGTGCAACTTGTTTTGCAACATTGTTGCTAAACGATTTGAGTAGCTATGTTGCGCAACATCGCTGTTCAACTCATTTGGCAACAAAATTGCAAAACAAGATGCACGCTTTTTTCTGCCCGTTTTACGGTGGCCTTACGCAGGCTACAAGCAAACCCTCTCTTGTCTTTCACTCGCGCGTGAATCTCGCATTTTCCAAGGGGAGAGGTTGATCGCAGGCTAAAATATTTGAATTAATTAATTTGCTTCTTATTTCAACTCGCATTTTTCATTTTCGCGAAGGTTGAAATTCGTCGCGTGAAGCCTGAGGAAAAAGAACCTCGCAAGAAGCGTAGAACATCCCAGGCTGCAGAAGTTGAAGAGATGGGTGATGGTGACGAGTTCAATTATCTTTTTGTATGCAACCGCTGGCTTGCACGTGATGAGGACGACGGCCAGATCGTGAGGGAGCTGGTACCAGTTGATGCGAGTGGAAAGCCAAGACGAGGCTCACTAGCAGGTATAATTTTAATTCGCTTTGGCAATTGGTCAATGACAATTGGACATTGGGCTTTAGGGCAAAGGGAACTAACTGCAATTTTTTGCCAAAGTGACGGCCAAACAATAGCTTTCCAAAGTGCAATTCCCAATGCCCAAGGCAATCTTCATTAAATCAGCTATATCTGTGGGATTATAATATTAAGTAGCTGTCGAACTTCTCTTCAACAGGCTCTTTGGGACAGAGCTGAGCCGGCGCTCGTTTTTAGAAGGGTGTCAGTGGCTCAAATGGCACGAGTTTATGTCAGCAAACGTTAAGCTGCGTTCAACAAACTGTAGCTGTTGATAGGTGCGGTCGAAACATAAGTTTGCAAAAAGTTATGACTAACTCAAGCATTTTTTATTAGAGAACACATACCGAGTACACGTATTTACTGGCGATGTTTCTAATGCTGGAACAAATTCTAACGTTTTTATCTGCGTGTATGGCGAGCATGGTGATACAGGGGAACAAAAACTGGAAAAGTCAGAGACCCACATGGACAAGTTTGAAAGAAATAATGTAAGAACTGCACTTTTTACTCGTAAATTATGCACGGAAACAAAGGGCAAACTAGTTTCTTTTATTCTGGAGTTGTTTTATCTGCAATAAGTAGAGGTGTCAAAGAAGATGTAAAGCAAATTTCAGCATGACTTGGTGGGAGAACCTGTCGCAATGCCAAAGACATTTATATGTGTTTTCCAAAATTGAGAAATACATTGCTTTTCAGAGGCCCGAAGTTACAGCATTGTGTCGTAGTAGGAAGGTAAAATAATCAAAAACAAAAAAGGTAATATTTTTGAGCACGAAATGTACTAACTGAAGACACTATTAAACGTTAGTCCTGGAGACGGGACCGCCATTGTACTGGATCATTCGAACCAGGGCAAGAGGCAGTACCTACATGTGTCATTTATTTTATATTTTATCATTATCGAACCCACGACCTCCCGCTCTACAGCAAGGGCTTTACCGACTGAGCTAATCCTGCGACGGCCAAATGATTGGGGAAGGTTGGAGAGTTAAAGTGGCCGACAGTTGAGAGCGCATCGCGGCTTTCGCAATGCAAAGGTCCCGGGTTTGGGTCTCGCCCTGACCATCAGCTGGGTTTATTTCTCTGCAATCTCAAGTTCAACCTCTCGCTCATGCTTGTAAAAAGCCACTTGGTGGTCTCCGGCCCGGTGGGATTTTTCAAAGTTGTGGTGTTGGATTTAATGATTTGTTTCAGATATTCTCGGCCCACCAACCTTCTTCTATTAATATTGTCGAGAGAAAAATAAAGTTTTGTTCATTTCTGATCGCTTTACCTGGTAGTTTACCAAGCGTTTCCCCGGGGTTAGAAGCCTTTGGCTATGGTTTATTTACCCATACCCGTACCTCAGAAACAGAGTATCTTACCGTGCTGTTCATTATTTGATTTTTTTTTCCGGCTTTGGTTCATAGGAAGATATTTTTTCCTTCAACTGTATAAATATTGGTAAAATCAGCAAAGTCAAAGTTTGGCACGACAACAGTGGATTGAAGCCCGCCTGGCACCTGGACAGAATTGAGATAAACGACAAACTAGCAGAAGAGAATTATGTGTTTCCGTGTAATCGTTGGCTTGCAACCAGTGAAGATGACGGGCAGATCTGCCGTGAGCTTGGCGCAGTTGACGATCGAGCTATGCAGTTACAAAGAAAGAGATCTCTGTCCAGGAAAGCCAGCGTTGTATCTAATGTTGATGGAGTTGATCTGGAGGCAAAAGGTTGGTTAGCATTTGTTACAAGGGAATACGGCTGACATGTTTGGTTGAATGCATTTTTGCGCACTGTCTCCGGGCTTGTTTCTTCATATGATATTCCTTTAATGTGATGAGTTAACAACTGCAGTTAAAATCGACGCGACGCTTCTTTTTCCCAGCATTCGCTGGCGTGAATCCCAAACAGCAGTTTTGATGATCGAAACAACCACCTGCTGTGATCATCTTCAATTTATAAACTGCCTATACCAGGTTTTTCTTATTCACGTTTTACTGCTTTATTTAAACTCTATGCATTGTATCATACATGCGTTCGACCCTGACTTTGCAGTATCGCCATGATTAGGCTGAGAAAACAGCCGTTATTTCGGGATGCCACCAACGGTTTCCACGCGACATGACGTTTCATGAGCGAGCGCAGAAATTCCATACTGATGACGTGCCACTACCGATATCTGGGTAGTGTTTCTGGTAGACCATGAACAACTGCAGCGTTTCTTAACAAGGCGCTTTTCGTTTTAAGTACACCAAACAACTGGTTGATTTGTATTTCCCTATTTTGTTCTGAGCACAACTTCATGCAAGCGCTTCGTACTTATTTAGTTCTAATGGTGCTTTTTTTTTCAAATGCTTTACAGCCCGCATGAACACGTATGAAGTATCAGTTGTCACTGGTGACGTCAGAGGAGCGGGGACCAACGCAAATGTGTATATCATCTTATTTGGAGAAGAGGACGATACTGGTTAGTTTTTAAAGTAAATAGTTTTGCGTTTAGAGTTTCCCTTGGTTTGTTGTATGCGTCTTGTAATGAGATGAACCTTTCTTTTGCAGGTAAAGTCCCTTTGAAAACGTCACGTACGTTCAAGAATAAGTTTGAGCGTGGACAAACAGATGTGTTCACAATCGACGCCTTAGTTGGAGAAGTACAAAAGATCAGGTAATAATTTCGAGTTTGGAGATTATTTTCGTGAACTGGAGTCTCGCTACTTTATTTAGCGGGATAAGCAGTCGTTTCCTTGATCAAAGGATGGGCTCAGAGAACTATGATTTAAGTTGCAATGGCTGAAACTTGTGGGGGAAAAATCTTGTATTTCTTCTGGCGAGGGAGAGAGTACTAGTCAAATAACCTGTTAACGTATATACTTAATAAAATGGTCTGCTAGAATTTAAAAGAATCGGCTTTTGAGCTGTTGCAATGTTGTGGTAAGCCAAAATGGGAATGAAGAATGATTTTTTAGTACCTTGTCTTCAAAAGTTCCAGACAGCAGTAGGCAAATAGCAATTATAGAAACATGTATTAGATTTAAAATCGTCGTCGGATATTTTTCAAATTACTTTTTCATCCTTTTGCAGTGATCTATTGAAAGTGTGTAAATGTAAATGTAAATATCATATTATCCACTCCCCAGGGCTTTTCAGGGATAATTTACAACACGGGTTGGGGGACTTTGCCAGACTGCTTAAGGTGCAGTTTACAAGTAATGAAGGAATGAGTAATGATTCCCCTTACATGAGTGTGAAAGTGAGATAGACCACTACACCGGGCACTAGCTGCCCTGGCCTACTCTTTACGAAGAGTGTGTGGGTTCTTTAACGTCACACAGATTTTTATTACATGTGCAAGGGCTTGTGAGACGGGGCCTACGGTTTATCGTCCCTATCCGAGAAGACTAGAAAGTCAAACCGTTTGCAGATGTTATTACAAAGGCAGGACTTTCTCCTCAGTTATTTAAAGACCCTGAGTGTTGGTCTGGCCGGTGTTTGAACCTACGGCCTCCCTCTCAGCAGACCGGCGCCTATCCCATTGAGCTAACCGGACGGCGGTTATTCAAGTTTTTCATAAGTGAACAAGATAGTGCAAAAGAGAGTATTAATCATGATCTCCTTAACACCATTTTTGTAGAATTGGCCATGATAACAAGGGTGGATTTGCTGGCTGGTTTCTCGACAAGGTAATCATCGACGTCCCGTCTCTTGGTCAGCGGCTTGTTTTCCCGTGTGGCCGCTGGCTGGATAAGGGCAAAGATGACGGACAACTGGAAAGAGAGCTCGTCCCTGGTGTGGACGCAGAAGAAAGCTATACACCATGTAAGTCAAACGATCTTACGGCCTACTGGGGCTAATACAGTCAACTCTCTCTAAGACGGACACCTTTGGGACCGGCGTTAGCTGTCCGTCTTAGAGAGGTGTCCGTCTTATAGAGAGTCAAATAGAGGGAGCAAAAAAGGCAGGGACCAACTCTAGGTGTCCGTCTTATAGAGGTGTCCGTTAAGAGAGAGTTGACTGTATCACTCCTTTTTCAATTTTTAAACGAGGATTATTAGTTTCCTGGCTTTGTGATCATTCATAGAAACAGAAGATTTCGACTGGACAAGCTTGTATAAAAGACGAATAATGAGTCCAACATTAAGTTCGATAATGCACTTAAACTGAAAGAATTTTTTTTCGCCCTTCGACAGGTTTTTTTTATTTTAAAACGTTTATGTTTCACTCGAATTTTTTTTTCTAATTTTTTGAGCTTCAAATTCTGCGCAAGGGGAAAAAATGATAGAATCTATTTATTTTGGTTTGTTTTAACAGCTAATGAATTCACTTTCTCACTGTTTTCAGTAAATTCAGGGAATCCTTTTAACACTTGTATCATCAAACATCTTCTCCATACTGTTTTGATCTATTTCTTATGGTGCTGATGAGATATTGTTTAACAATCCGGCGAGAACTTTTTCACTTTACTCTCATGAAGTTAGATATTTAGCAGGATATTGCATATAAGGAGAAGTGGAAAATGTTTTAATGAAATGCTTAATGGCTTAAGTTTGATCGACGTTCTTGCAGACGTTCCTTATGAGATAACAGTATACACGAGTGATATGATGGGAGCAGGCACCTCAGCTAATGTGTACTTAGTGTTGTATGGCTCTGATGCTGCCACCGAAGAAGTTGTATTAGCAGACACGTCAAAGAAGAAGAAAGATTCCTTCAAGAGAGGCTCTGTTGATCAGTTTGTCAAGGAGGTTAGCGCGCTTGTTGATGTATTTCCGGTATAAAGGCTTAAGATTTGTTTTTGCTAGGTAATCTTTGTTAATTGAAAGCGGTTTTCCTTTGGGTGCCTTCAAAATAAAACCAATCAATTACTATGAAGAAGAACCCATGTTGATATTTTCTTGTATTTTTTCGCTCTTGCTTATTCCAGCTGGACAATGTCGGTGATTTGATCGAGAAGATTCGAATCGGTCACGACAACAAAGGTATTACCCCTGGCTGGCATCTAGATAAAGTGGAAGTACGGCGTCTGCAAGAAGACGGAGAAACATCCACAACTTACACGTTTCCTTGTAAGCGGTGGCTGGCTAAGGACGAAGATGACGGCTCTGTTGTTCGGGAGCTGATTCCGCAGAGGGTGGTAGAGGAGTCTGTAACAGAAGATGGCGAGTTTAAAACTAGAGAGGTCAATCAGGAAACATTGGAACGTGAGTTTTGTGAAGTGTGAACTGTAGTGACATAGAGTACCGGGGCGAAAGATCTGATCAACATAACATTGACGCATATTACAGTTGGCCTAAAAACACTCCATGACATTAAAGTTGCTCATACAATACTCGAGTTGTACCATGTGACTTCCATAGGAACGATCCTTGCGGCGAATTGCTGCTCGGCAATTTAAGCGTGTTCCATTGATTATATTGCGGAAGAAGAAAAAATGGAATAAACTCTATAAATTACATATTTTGGCGTTCATTGCACTGCAATACCTAGAAATCTGCTGGAAATGAAATGTCCCGATGGTGGTCCAAAAATCACGTCACCAGAGATTTGCAGCAAAACTTTGCGGATTATTCTTCCTGAATATGATCAATCGAGCGTTCACTGCAGGGTTCTATCTAGGGTATTTGAGGGGTAGAATCTCCCCCCCCCCCCCCCCAATTTTTCCGGTTCCCCTAAAAAAAAATTTTTTTTTTTTTAAATTATTTTAAATTTTTTTTGAAAAAAAACCACCACACGCGCCGGTCGGTGTCCACACACAGAAACATCTACCAAAAATTTTTTTCAAAGGACCACAAAGTGACTCTCCGTCATGCATATGAAAATCCAATAAACTGCTGGAAAATTAATGGCCGGGTGAGGCGCCAAAAATCACCTCCGTCAGAGTTTTGAACAAAACTTTGTGGGTTTGTCTTTCTGAATTTAAATCAATCGGGGTTCGATTGAGGGTTTTAATTTAGTTTTTTTGGGGGGTTAAACCCCCCCCCCCCCCCCCAATTTCTCAGGTTCCCCTAAAAAAATATTGTTATCATTACAGTATATTAGTAACTTTTTCGGAAAAAATCATCCAGACGCGACGAGGTCAGTGCACACACAGTAACATTTCTCAAAATTATGTCTCAAAGTGCACCAGATTGCATCTCTGCGCATATTCATTTCAAAAAATTTCCGAGGGAACCCCCGCTAGGAGGCTCGTGGCCTTCGGCAACTCGGGACTGCTCTCTCAACGATAAATCCTAGATAGAACCCTGCACTGTATTGTATTCGCAGTCTGATTCCCTATTTCGTGGAAAAGGAATTAATGATGTCCACGTTTGCAACTTATACCAGTTACTGCATAAGTAGTCTGTGTAAGGTATTAGTGTGGAATACTGTGATAAATCAATTGTTAAGCGGTAGATGTCAGATTTATGCTGTACGTTTAAACAGTCTCTTCAAGGAATATTGAGCTCTTCAAGGTCCCAGGTTATGGTTTAACAGCCTCATTTTTATTTACAGTTCGAAAGTACAAAATTCACGTTTTCACTGGTGACGTCAAAGGTGCCGGGACAGACGCCAACGTGTTTATTACCATATATGGAGAGTATGGTGACACTGGAGAGAGACAGCTTGGCAAATCAGAAACGCACAGTAATAAGTTTGAAAGAAGAAACGTGAGTGTTTAAGTTCTCTGTGTATCAGGTTTCACCATTTCAGAGGAAAGAAGACAGCAAACTCTGTGTGACAAGCATGACAATAATATCTTCACCTCCTTTAAACAGGTCTTTTTGTAAAATTCCAGAAAACATTAACCGAAGTGAAGATCACATCAAAACACCTAAGTAACAGCCCTGTCACGTTTGCCACACACAAGCGTTTTGCCGTCCTGTTGCGTAAACTCACTGTTTTCAAAACTTGCTCGCACAACCGAGTTTCATAGTAATAGGTACAAGTGGCGTCATTAATTAAAGCTTCACTGGCAAGCGAATCAGTAGTCAGACTTATGTACGACGCTAACACCTGAACGTTCCTCCGCCATTTATGATGTTTTCACTTAATATTTTTCATGACTTTACTAAAGTTCACTACTCAGGACATACTACTACAATAGATATAATTTAAAGAAATTGTAACAAAGATAGCAAGGAAAAAAATATAGGTTGTATAAAAAGACTGCACTTATACACATGAATAAGAACAGATGAATTAGTGAGCAACAGCCAAAGTAGCGAAAGCTTTCAATTTGGCAGCTACTTACTTGAGCATGACAAGAGAGAAGTAGTGACATAAAAAAGGAGAAACAAATAATGAATAGGGCAAAGCAAAATAGGTTGCATAGAAAGAAAAGAGGTATAGATATGAATCAGTGTGCAGCGGCCAAAAAAGGAGATAAGGCTTACGAGTTGGATGCTGCTTTCTGCTTACTTATGCATAAATTGAGGAGGACATCGAGTGTAGCTACATGTTGGCTCTACGAGTATCCTAATGAACATAAATTGCAAAGAGACTTTTTGCAGAAGAATTGAGTTGAAATAATTGAAAGTATTGTTCTGTTTACCGTTGTCTAATCTCAGTATTAAACAGTTTATGTTTCCTTCTTGACAGGAAGATGTTTTTACTCTGGAAGCGGCTGAACTTGGAAATATTTACAAGTTGAAGCTTCGACACGATAATTCTAACATAAGCCCTTCCTGGTTTGTGGACCGTGTGGATATAAGGGATGTTGAAACCGATAAACTGTATCCGTTTATCTGCGAGAGGTGGCTTTCTAAGAAGAAGGAGGAAGGAAAAATCCAACGAACACTTTACGTGAAGGGTTACGAGGTATAAAAATGAACAAAATAGGAATAAACCCTCACTGATATTAAAATATTGGAAAGTGCGTACGGTTTCTCATAACTACCACTAAATGCCCTTTTTGAGGAATCGCGACGCCCGCACCCTTCCGGTAAGCGCTCGATCCTGCATGACGATTTCACTAAAAAAGAGGGGACTGTTAACAGTTTAGAGGGAATTTGGCCCATTTTCAAAAATACACCTTCCCTTGAATGTTCGCATCGTTTGTTTTGAAAATATGATTCTAATTTTTATTTTCTCAAGCTCGTCGTCTGCAATAGTTGATCATTTAACCACCGTCTTTAATATACCTCAATTCTTCCCATTTTCTTATTACATCTGTTATTTTTTTTATTTAAAGTTGGTTCTGGAGGTCGAAACATTGGCCCATAATATCGTGTAATACCCTCTTTGAAACGTTTTAGGCTTGTAATTTCAATCAATACTTATACAGAGTTTTTGGCCTTTTATTCCCTTTTATTGTCCTTACAGAGTTACGTTATGAAAGAAAAACGCACCAATAAGTTACTAAGATATGGTACGAAGTAATGAATAATTTTGACTCTTTTTTTCTCTTGTTTACATTCCAGGGAGAACGTTCCACACTTGGAACCATGAGTATGGCGTCTTTGGGAGGTAGCCTTGGTGCACGAAGAAGCAGTCGGAGCAGCCTCGGAAGTAGTCGATCTTCACTGCATCGTAGCAACGAAAGTTTGCCGACTGCTAGCCGAAGTGCGTCCGCCGATGCTATCTTTATGAAGGAATTTAGTGAGGGTAAAAAAGAAGCGGCAGCAGCTGGTGAAGGTCAGTATTTTTAAAAGGAAACCTTTCATGTTTATAAATAAAATTGGTTTGCTAACTACGTATATTGTCTCAGGGTTTTGATAAAAATAGTTGCTGAATAAAGGGTTCGTCTTGTCGGGTTTGTCTAAACCTCTTCTCTGCCTCTATGTACTGTTCCCTATAACTTCTAGCTGCAATTGCTATCAGTGTTAAAGGAATTGTTGTGGGTCCATTATTTGTTGTTTAATGAAACCGATGGTAGCCCTGTTTGCAAATGGTACACTCGTCTCTGTCTTATCCCTTTAGCATAAAAGGATCTTAGCGAATCATGATATCTTTTGATTCCTGTTGGCATTAAAAGACCCTGACTTTACAGCTGTTTCGGATAACACGCGACCTACGATGTCAGAAACGTATTTGGATTTTGGGTTTTTCTACGGCGTCAATCAAAATCTGATGGCTCGGCGCCTTCTAGCGGACGGAAATTGCATTGTAATTATTAATCAACTCATTGCAAATATATTTTTGGCTTAATTTTCGGGGAAGAGACTATAGTTGTTGTACTTCTTGAGCGAAGTTAATATAACTCAGAAGGTAAGGTTTCATTGCTGGAGTCCAGTTTTCCTACCGAAGGTTAAGAAAAGGAAGAAGATGATAACTCTAGTAAACAGTTTTTACAGGGTAACGTGTTTTTCTCCTCACAGCCATAGCTTATACGATCCGCGTGACCACCGGTGACCAATCAGATGCAGGCTGTCAAGCGCAGGCGCATATTGTGTTGATTGGCACCGAAGCAGCCACTGAAAAGATCCCGCTCGTGTTGATACAGAAAGAAAGTTTCACTCCAGGGTTAACTGAGACGTTCTCAGTCGAGGCAGTCGACGTCGGAGAGGTGAAGAAAATTGAGCTGTCGAACAACGCTTATGGCGCTGATAGTGGCTGGTTTGTGAAGGAAGTAGAGGTGGATGTACCGACCAGCGGTAAGAAGTACTTTTTCCCGTGCAACAGGTGGTTATCAGAGAACAAGGAAGATGGAAAAGTGGTCAGGGTCCTTTCTGCCGCTGATAATCAGCTGGTCACATACAAACCACGTAAGTTGTTTTGTTTTCTTGGAGAATACGAACCCTAAGGATGGTGTTTTTGCGCGGTGATGACGTTAACGATAAAACAGACCTCGGCACAGGCTCCCAAAATCCACACTGAAGAAGAGCAGGGATATCTCTAAATCGTGCGTAGTTAGTCCATGTTTTCTATGTTTAATTCATAATCCTGGGTCCTTGCTGTGGTGAACTTTGTTTGCGCAGTCATGAGGCTCGCAAAGTATTTTCAACTGGCGATTCACCTTATCATATGGCCCATTCTGCTTGCCGACGTCCCAGTTTACTTGTTTGAGAAGCTCTTCATCTGGCGTCATAAAGAACAAGTGTTCAAATCCACTTTAATAATTTTCTCCCTTACGCGTCAATCTCTATCAATCTTTTGTTTAAAATGCTCCTGCCGTATTGTGCTTTTATGTACGAGTAAGGGAGTAACTTGTTGCCTTATAGATGTGCCATACGAGATGACAGTCTACACAGGTGATGTAAAATCAGCTGGAACAGACTCTGCCATCTCCATGACGATGTTCGGCACTGAGGGCACCACTCCTGAGTTTGTTTTAGACAAAGATGAATCCCGGTTTGAACGCGCATGCGTTGATCTTATTAGAATGGACCTGGATGATGTGGGCAAACTGCTGAAAGTCAGGATTGCAGTCGACGGTAAAGGAACCCGACCAGATTGGTTCTTGGAAAAGGTGCGCCACATAAGTAATTGTGTGCTTAATTTTTTTTTTTTTTTTTTTTACTTTTTTTTACAAAGGATTGGCCATAGTGTTTGAATTTACCATTAACAGCAAGAGTTCTGTAAACTCCTGTTATGCTTGCTAGACAAGAACCTTAAAGGAATATTTTCAAATAAAAAAACTAAAGGACGATGTTCAAATTTGTAGACTATCACTTGTCAGTACAAATTACGAAAATTCTTCTGAGAACTCGCATACAACCTGAGTGGAATAATTAAACAGTGTTCTCTTTGTAAGGTGAAGTCCTTATGGACCGTCACCAAACGTCTATCTATGAGCAAAGAACGTTTAATTATTGCTACAGTTACAGCAAAGTTAGAGACTGAAAGGCGTTGAGATCGTTTGGAAGTTGTTTTCGTCGTAGATAATTGGATAGTTACCCGTTCTTCCAATAGCTCAAACCCCAGGAGTTTTAAAGACTCGGTGCAGAGTCATGTCTTTTTCTTGCTTTTTCTTCAATAGAAGTTTGTTTGTCTTTTGTTTTACAGATGATTGTTAGGAACATGGAGACGCACTCCGCTAGCGTGTTTAAATGCAATGACTGGTTTTCCAAAACAGAAGGGAAACTAGTAAAAGAGATTCCAGCTGAGACGGATGGCGAGGAGATGCTGAAGAGTAAGTTGTTTTCTGCTTTGTTCAATGGCAGTACATTAAAAAAGAACCATCTGTTGGTGCTAAATTTTTGGTAAACTATTTTATGAATCCCTTGGTGAATTACTACACAATAGACCTCTTTAGTTTGTATGTTTTGCGGTTTTCTCAATGCAGGTCTTATGGTAGTACTCTAGAGAACTGTTTCTTTCAAATTTCGTTTTATTCACGTGGATAAGTACGCATAATTTATGAAGACAAAACTAGGTCAAATTCCCTTGGAACCGTCATCGTGAAAACAAAACATACAAGCTAAAGAGGTCTATTAACTTTTAACATTAATAACCTGACTAGTTATTAACCAGTTGTTTAAACAGCCGGTATTTGACCTTAATGCCGTGAATGCTCATTCTTGACCTTCGAATAATGTGCGCTGTCTTTAAGAGTCTTCATCTGCAAATACTGCTCTCAGCGTTGTCATGTGACTTATGTGTATTTACTGACGTGATAACACGTGGTTTACTCAATAATTGATTTTAATTTAAATATTCGTAAGTCACGTGACTGCACTTAAGACTGTATTTAAGAGACCCTGAATAAAAGTCGTTCAAACAATATATTTGACGAGTTTCAAAACCCGGTGCAGAGCGCGCAGCTCTGCATTTTGAAGGCCACTGCGTTTGTAAAGATGGCGAAGTGTTATCAAGGAAAAGACGGTTACTGCCTCGCTCCACCATCGTATACTTTTTTCAATTATCCAACAGTACCTTTCACCGCTTAAAAATTAACCGCTTTGTAGTCATGCCGGTTTCCGTTTATGGCGGGAAATGTTTCATGCGAAGCAAGCTTTGGAAAACACCTGATAAGACCCTCCTATACAAGTTGCAACGTGAAGCTGTCTAGAGCCCTTGCAAGACTACTTGCAGATAACTCTGTTACGTGCGACAAGTCGGATTAGAAGCGCAATACGAAACTGCGTAGCGAACTGCAATAAGAGCTGAACGATCTCCTGCTCCTTCTCCCGTCGCTTAGAAAAAGCTAACGAAAATTTTTATTTCGTTTGCTTGTCGCCATTGTTTATTATAGAGCAACTAACATCGCTATTCCCTTCGTTGATTAGTTGTTGGGCAAGCTTGTTAGCAGAGCCCAAACAGGTTTGCTTTTGTTTTAGATTGTATTCGAAATCGCCATCTGTAAGAATACTTTGATGACTCAATTCCCTCTTTCCCATTACTAGAAACCACATACAAGATAAACGTGAAGACCGGTGATGTCATGGGTGCAGGAACAGACGCCAACGTGTTCATGGTCATGTTTGGTGAAAATGGGGACAGTGGAGAGCTGGCTTTGAAGAACTCGGAAACGTATAGAGACAAGTTCGAAAGAAACCACACCGATGTGTTTACCTTCAATAATTTACTAACTTTAGGTGCGGTTTAAATTGTGCATTCCCTAACAGATGAATGAAATCATTCAGCAATAGTAAACAATTGCGAGCAAGCATTTCTTAATAGAAATTTGTGAAAGAAGGTGGAATTTTGAGGCAAAAAAGTTATAGCTACATTGAACAGTACGATGAAAAGAAAGCGGTTTTCATGTCGGCGTTTTCATGCAGCATTTATAGAGCCGTCAGTGAGTTCCTTGTTAAAACCTGTTAGGTATGTATGCTCATTGATTGGTCACATTCGTATTTATTGTACGGCCCGCTTGTGTTCTTTCTCCGTTTTCTTAAACCTCTCAAATCAAAGTTATAAAATTTATAGATATCTTTCGATCCGCGTTTTTTTTTGGTCTTTGCTGTAGGTAACGAAGTGTAGCTTTTTTAGGTCAGTAACTAGAACTCGAACTGTTCAGTGTAGTGAAGTGTATTTGTAGGGTCAGCGTTTCAGTCCTTTTTGTAATCAACTAAGAACAGAAATACAGTCGAACCTGCGCCTTCAGACACCTCCATAATACGGACACCTCTCAAAACACTCACATTTCTCTTACTTCCAGAGTTACGATCCCTTGTTCCTACAAAGATGGTTTGACTGTCTACAGGACAAACGGGTTGTCTTTTCAATATGATCTGTGCGAAAGCCATTCAGTGCAACATAGCTATTACCTTGTAGATGTTTCCAGGGAGCAACCAAATCCTGTGATGAAATGTAAGAAGTGCGAGATGCATCAGGCTTTTTCATTTTCATTCATTTTTCTGTTTTCCTCTGTCTCTTTAGGCGACCTTACGAAAGTACGCATTTGGCATGACAATAAATTTCTTGGTGCAAACTGGTATCTTGAAAGCGTGGAAATTGTGGACGAGTCAACTGACGAAAAATTTCTCTTTCCGTGCAACCGCTGGCTCGCTAAGGACAAAGATGATGGGAGTCTGGTACGAGAGCTAACATGCGCAAATCCAAAGAAGAGCGCTGATTCAAGAACACCTACATGTAAGTCACGCATTGTGCTTATGTAGTTATGCCATGTGAAGGGCTGTATCAATCTGTATTGATAGCTCAAACAAAATAAATCTTGCTCCAGTATGTCTGAAAATCTAGACAATGAAGGTGGCGAGAGATTTCACACGCATAGTTAACGTGAACTGTCAAATCAAAAATTGTTGTCTCGAAATGTCTCTTTTCTTCCTTTCAGAACAAAAGTGTTCGTTTTACTGTGGGCAAATTAAGATAGGGCTAGGTAGGTGTTGACTGAGATTAAAAGTGTAAGAAAGAAAGAGAAACAAGGAAATTAGTTCGCTGGAATAATTTGCCTTTGTCTCGATGAATACGGTAACTGAAACAGTCAGTTTTGCGGGTGAACGTATCATGTTAGGTCGTCAATGCTGGGTTCAAAATCAATAGAACTTTTACAAGTGTAACGTAGCTCTTCTCTTAGAGTCGGAAAATAATAGCCACACTTGTAAATTACACTTGTTAAAGTCCCTGAAGTTTGGTTCAAATAGCAAAGATAAATGACCGTTGAAACATAAGTTTGTCCAGTGCAAAAAATTTACTACCTTACACAGTCCTAAGAAAATTACCGTAATAGTAAAAGTAAAAGATGGTTGAGGTTCAACACCGATTTCCTTTTTTTTTTCATAGCGTTTGAACTAACCTTTCTCACAAGCGACAAGCAAAACGCTGGAACGACGCAAAACGCCTGGATCGTCCTAGAAGGAGAAGAAAGAAAATCCCAAGAATACGTGATAGAAAACAGCGCCAAGAACAAAGTACTGCGACGCGGGCAGACTGACACCTTTAAATTTGTCACCAAACGGTTGGGAAGTCTTACTCACGTGACCATAGGACACAGGAGACGAGAGGGCTCCACGGTCAAGGGAACTGGGAAAGAAACTGGATGGTTCTTACATGAATTGATTGTCTCTGCACAACAGTCTGGAGAAAAGTAAGCGAGGAAAAATCTGCTTTCGTAAAACCTTTTAAATAAAGGGCATGTGTGGAAAAAGGGTTTCTATCAGGGTTCACAGTGCTCCTGAAATTCTTTGAAAATTTTTGCTCCTCCAGAGTACTGGGAAAAAATTATCTTTTTTTTCTGAAAATTATCTTTCTTATATACCGGTACTCCTGGTAACTCTCGGAATTTCATTATTGAATTGGATGAATGTGGCGGGGGGTTTACTACAATTTAAGAGGCTATGTACTTTTTCAATAGGGGAAGCAAAAACGTTTAACCAGCAATGGCCGGCAGAAAAGGCGTAGTTTTTAAAGCATTTTTCACGCGAGCAATGGCAGGCGCGAGTCAGGTCGCTCTTGCCTTTGCTTACCTGTAAAACGTGTAAAGGTAACGCCTGTCTTGCCGTCTAGACGAACAGTGATTTGTTTGGATTCTGTGTAGGTAGCTTACGAGACCTCGACAGTGAGGACAACGAGAACTGCCCTTTGTTTACACTTTTTTTTTTAAAGTCGTCCCCGTCGTGGTTGATGTCTATTCTCTTTTCGTAACTCGAACGCCTAGAAACCGGCTCTCTTATTCTGAGCTATCCAATTAAACGTGTCAGTCATTTAACTCTTTATTGGCTTTTGCAGATACGTGTTTCCATGTCGTCAGTGGATTCCTCTCAGCTCCGATAAAAATGACGCTGTTCGGCTGGAATGTAAAACATCTGAGAAACCGAGAGCGGCAGCCATCAGAGGTATAGTGTTTGCTCATTACAGTGTATACGTAACGTACAACTACAATAGACTATAAAAATAGCACATGCACGACTAAGACATTGTGTGGCGTTTTTTGTGTCGTAATCCCCCTTAGCTACTAGAAGCGGGACGACATTCTGTTTTGGGCAAGTGGTTGAAAAAACACAGGACTAGTAAATTTCGTTCGGGATTTGCACAAATTTCTGAAATACGGCCGCGAGCCCCCTCGATTCAACAACAACAACAACAACAGGTCTGAACAGGTGTTGTGGGTGTTGACTGTTTGTTACTCATATACTTTTGTTCTTGTCACCTTGTTTCAGACCTTCAACCTGTTCAATATCTAGTGGAGGTCTTCACAGCCGACGTATCACATGCAGGCACAGATGCAAACGTGTCCATTACCTTATATGGCGCAAACGGCGACACTGGACAAAGACAGCTTACTAAGAAGTTTGTCAACTTGTTCGAGAGAGGACAGACTGACGATTTCAAGATCGAAGCGTTGGATCTTGGTCAGCTGACTCGCTTGCGCATTGAACATGATAATAAAGGCTTTGGAGCTGGATGGATGCTTGATAAAGTTGTGGTCACTAATTTGACGAGTCAAGAGAAAGTGACTTTTTCTTGCGGCCAGTGGCTTGATAAGAAGAAGGGCGATGGAAAGATCTGTCGGGACCTGCTTCCTCTACCTTCATAACTGTAGCCTGTGGAGAAGCTGACTACGAATTTTTGATGAGGAGCTTCGTTGAATCTAGGTTTCAATCGCGTATTGAATTTCTAAAATCTGTGAGGACAGTGTTATGCATGGGTTATACAGAATGTTGATGATCCCACTTCTCGCAGTTTAATCGAATAACTCACGAGTATCTCTCTAAAACGACCATAATGCTAGTGCACAAGTCTGGCCAGTGCTTGAGCTCGGTTACGAACCAAAAGTGAATTCGCTCATGGTGAACAGCCATGTTGACATACCTGGGGATCTCGCCAGCTACGCAAGCTATGTTGAAGTATCTCCATGGACAAATGATCACGAAAATGTATTTCAGGGTCTTGAGACCTCAAGATATACCCCTTTCCGATCGCTATTATAATATAGATGCCAAGTATGACAATTTCTTCGTCGTTGTATCGAGAAAATACTATATTTTTTTATAAATGTTTTCATTTTTATTCATAGCAAGCCAGTGTAATATCTTTTTAGACAAGCGTGCATTACGGTCTTCCTTTTTTAAAGGGAGGTGTAGTTAGGAATAGGGTGTATAATACTATATTTATTCTTCATTTTAAATTGTTGTTACATGTTCAAAACATTAGTTATTTATTTATACATTTGTTCGGGCTAAAGGTGTTGAAAGTGCCTGATTAGAAACAAAACGAAGCTCTACTTGTTATTTAAGACTTAAGGTCCTGTCACTTCCAGGGAAGGAACGCCCAAGTTATTTGAATGAAATTTTATGTTTGGGAGCTGTTGTTAGCATTAAATCAGTAACTCAGTTAGAATAAAAGTCAGTAGGCATCCAATAATGTGCTGTTGCGTTTTGCGGGAACAAATTTGTGCGAATTTGGATTTCAAATGAAGTGCTAGAAAAACATTTTTGTAGGGGTATTGATTGCGATTCGAAAAAAGCTATAATGTTGCGTGTCTTTGTGAATTTTCTATACAGAATCGAGTCAATTGATTGTCATCACCATGAAAATATACGGCTGTAGCTACGACTTGTGTGCTCCACGAAGACCGAAAGCTGATATTCGTAACGCCATCTATCAATTCTTAGCTTAAATAAGTTACATGCACCCATCTGTTGTCGTCTACACTTGTGGGGTTAAATGTGGCATAACGCAATGCCTCTTGGCGATTCCTGCACGACCCATTAGACAATACACACAGAATATTTTTCACTTACTATTTTTACGCTTTGCCGTTGTCTTGGTATACCTAGAAAAAATTTTACTGCAATTTTAAAGGCCAGGTCGTTACACAGTTTTTTCTTCCACTTTTGGTTCTGTCGCCGTCACCTTATAAATGTGGTAATTTATAAGTTTACACTTTACATGTATACTCAAAATTCTTATGAAATGAAAATGTTGACTGTGTTTTGTTTTCGAATCGAAACCAGATTCGCTGTACCAGATGCAAAACTACCAACCTGCAAATAGCCCACGTTCGTTATATTAAAATTCTAACATGACTCCGAGGCTTTATGGTCGATATTTGGTTTGGTTTTCTTTGAGTTCAAGTCTCTTATTGGAATTCCGAGTCCATGGAGTCGTGAAAAATTTGCAATTTTGTTCGTAGAGCCTCGGAGTCATGTTAGAATTTTAATATATCGAACGTGCTCTATTATTTTATGACATTGCCACCTGGCTCGATGGGCCCTTACACATTTTCGTAATTTATTCCCGAAACGAAACACTATCACAGTTTCAAGTGAATGCAAATAAAATCAGGCAAAAACAAAGCTTAGCCTTACTTCGCTTCTTTTTTCCATGTACAGCGGAAACTATTTATTTTTGTGAATTGAAATATATGAAATGAATCAATATTTAAACTGCGGATGAAAAGTGAACATGATTTTCGCAGTTGTAATGAACAACTGAAAAGGTTGAAACAGAACCTAAAAAAAATCCAGAGCGTTGCATCTGGTCATCGCAAAGGTCAGAATGCGTTTCCCGGTCAAGACTGGATTTTCAACCGCTTAGGTTTATTCTATTGCGAAAATCGTGTTCACTTTCGTATAAAATGTTTTGGTAATCTAATTTTCATGTTATACAAAGTCCGGTCTTAAATTAAACAATTGGCGAGAAAGCAATTGCAGAGCAGCTGTAGTAAGTTGTTTTATCTTCGTCTGATTATTAATTCGTTCATTTTGAATCAAAATTGTATCAGTTTTCTTTGAAAACGTTTTTGGCACTTTCTATATTCAATTAACAAAATCTAGCATTAACCAGAGTGGCCATCTCACAACGAGTTTTATTAGCGTAAATCGCGTATTATTTTATCTCTGAAAACACTTGACCTTTGCCATTTTGAATATTGAGATCATATCTGACTCTCTTAATACTGATAAGATGTATATCCTAATCCGGCGTGAAGGTCGGATCCGGCCCAATACTTCTATTCTGAAGAGGGCTTGTACAGTTTACAATTATCAAAGAGGCAAAGTAACGTTAGGGCTGAGTTGACCTTTCCAATACTTAGCACGCGCGCTGAGAGAAAAAATTAAACACACTCTGTACTGGGTTTATTCGTTAACTGTCATTACAGGGACTGTGGGTGCATCTCAGCTTCTTTTATTCTTGATATACGTAGCACATTTTAAAATTCATTTGTTCTTCGAGTTTATTGGACCAGACAAGGATATGTTCACTTTAGTGTGCCCAATATATTTCATGAATGCTTGACGAATTTCGCTTATTCTCCAGCAGTAGAGTCCAGGGTTAATAATTGAATTTGCAAAAACAAGTGTTCCTGTTACTGCATAAGCTGTTCTTAGAGAAGACGATATGCCAGTAACAAGATAGATCACAATGACACATGTAAAAGGGAGATAACATAACCAGAACAGTCCAACTATGTACACTACAGTCAAAAGTGACTTGTTCGACTTCAGCTCCTCGGTGGTTGTTGAAGAACCACTGAACTGTGCCACAGAAGACATTTGAGTTTGAATTTGCACCCTATGACGGTTAATAACTCGAAATATTTTATAGTAAATCAACAATATTGTTACAAGACAGAGAAGTATAATGATGACGTTAGTTAATAAAAAAGTGTAGTTGGTGACTCCTATAACACGTGCAAATGCATTGACAGAAAATAAAGGCCATATCGCAATCACAAACATCGAGGTACGGAAAACTGTTACGAAATGACTGTAACGCAAATGCATCGTAACAGCGAGGAATCTATCCACGCTTAGAGCGAGAACGGTTGTTCCTGATATTCCGCTTGCGAACCAAGCGGTCGATTCCATCACGACTCCTGGTACACAGAACAAGTGTTCATTCAAAGTAAGCTCTCCAACCACGTGAATAACTTCCATTGGTTGAGTTATCAGCCCGTTTAGGAAGTCTGAACAAGCAAGGCACAGGAGAAGTATGTTGGAAGGCGATGAGTGAAGAGACGGGTTTCTCCATATTGTGGCTATAACTAATCCATTTGATAAAATAGTAGGTACAATGAGTAAAGAGTTAACGACGCAGGTGATTATTTTCAAAGAGTCCTGAAATTGTGTTGAGTTTCCAGTGAAATCGAGAAAGTAGCAATCCATGGATGAAAATCATGTCATTTGAGATTTTGCTGTAACGAAATAATTTAGGCGTTGTACTATGGTGTTAATTTTCTAACAGGACATAGATGGTCACGATGTGAGTCAGTTCTCCATAGTAATAACAGAATAACGTCGACCGCAGCTGCTTTTTATGTGCAAGCGGCTCTATGAATGATCGATTAGCATTTTGTTCACTTGACGCTGTGTGGGAAATATCATTAACAAAATATTGGATGTGAAGAAGCGGAAAGCTTAAGAAGTAAACCTTACATTTTATTTATAGAAAGTAACAGGAACAACAAATATAATAACACTAGAATGCTGTTCAATGTTTACTATCTTACAAATACACAGTGTGGGCAGATTGGTTGTAAGTTATAGAAAGGTGCAAAGGTACTTTGAGCTCGTACGCCTAGAATAGCCCCATAGACTAAAGTGGAAAGTTTTCCAAGCGTGAAAGCAGTTTGGTAAAGAGAAAAAATATAAGTTAACTTGAAATAATCAGAATTAACGGAATTCGCATCTAGAAGTGAGGTATTTCAAGGTATTTTGGTATAGGTATTTCATTTAACAAAAAGTTTATTTCGTATGACTGGGATAAATCTACATGCATGCGGCTGTTTGGTTCCCAAAACCTTGTTTATTCCGTATTTCAAGAATAGGAAACAAAACTAATGAAAATTCAGTTCTAAGTTTTTGGCCAGAACAATCCACAGAGTCATTATAATAGAATGCTAGGTTTTTGAATCAATAAGTGCCGGCCTTTCCCATGAAGAGTTTCAAGAAGCTTAAAAATGATTGAAGATCTGACATTGAATCAAACTCGCGCGCCTCCAAAGTAAGCTTATATCCTGAATAAAGTAATACTGCTATGAATTAATTAGAATTAAGGAAGTCTGTAGTATTCAAATCCATGTTTTATTAACTTTTAAATTACGTATGTAAAGCAGCATAGCATAAGATGTAAATTAGCGAACCTGTGTAGATTGGCTTTCCTAGGCTATGTTCACGCTATACCGCATAGCTTTTGTGCGAGTACGGAAACAATACTGAATAGAGTTTCTTTTCACACATAAGAACGGTAATTTTGACCCGATTTCTGTAACGAAGTGATGGTGCGCCAAGCCGATCACAAAAGCGGAGAGTCACGTTTCGGTACGAAAAGATATCCACAGCCTTAAAGATGGCGGATCCTAGGGGTACCCTAAAAATCGTGAATTTGGTTTTGTTTTCTGGCCAGTCTGACGTTCGAGGAACTTTCCGCTTATTTGGAAAATGCGCCCATTTTCAGGCCCAGAACAGATTAACAGAGCCTATGAAGTCTCATCAGCCAAGATCTTTCGCACTTGAGTAGAACACCTTTCTTGTCACAACAGTTCACTACTCAGACTTTATTTAAGATGACGAGGTGGAAAACATTTTATTCAGCAAGATCGCACCAAAAACTGAGCCCTGACTTGCCGGTCATTGCGTACCTGAGGGAATGCGCATCAGAAATGTATATAACTTTATCTATTTTTACATTTTTACATACTCTTGGGCTAGTTTATATATATGTATAATTATACTGATATAATTATATTTTTTAATATTTTAATCAGTTTATAATGATTAGTCCGTTTTAAACTATTTTTAATGCATGTTCTTAGGTTTTTTTTAGTGTTTTTTTTTTTATTTTTTTTTTTCAGAAAATAGTTTCTCAAAAAAGTTTCCCAAAATTACGATGTTTTTAGGTTGTTCTTAATATTTGTGTACACATAATTTCCTTTTTATCCTGTTTTGTATTTTTTAGTTCGTCGAGCGTTTTTAACATGAGCCTCTGGCTCGGAACATTGTGTACACACTTCCCACGTCTTCGACATTAAATAAATCATTCATTCATTCAATCAGTTCATCGCACCTGCCCCTTAGCAGTGCTGCAGAAAAATACCGTGTTACAAAAACATCACAAACTAAACTCACTCTACTGGCCAACAGTTACTGTGTTTTTTAGGTTAAGAACTATATAATTTCAAAAATCAACGACAAGCACACAAAAACAAAAAACCACATGAAAGAGAGATGTTCGAGGGAGATATAAAGGTGTACCTTGGCTTACATCATAAAACTTTGTATGTACATATTCAACATGGGAATGGTCATCGACTAACTCATTTTTGGCCGCTCGTGGTAAACAACGGCGGGAAGAGACCTTGTCGGCAGAACACCCCAGGGGAAACTTAGGAAACTTATATGGGAAGTGCGATATGCTTTCTAAAACCCTGAACCTATTTCAATCCAAAATATGTCATCTTCCCTACCCAATTTGGCACCAAAATCTTTTTTTCCCAAGAGATAGCCGATTGACGAAAAAAACTTCTTAGCCAATTCAAGACCCTGTTTCCTTATAGCACAGAGCCTTACCCTACTTGTTTCTATCTAATTTTTGGTTCTTACCGAAACGGATAAAAAAAAGTATACCTAAAACTTCAAGATCAAAAATGAGTTAAAACTTGGACAATTTTGGTTGCAAATGCCTTTTGAGTGCCGTCCGGGACATTAATGCCCCTTTAGATTAACTAAAGTTCGATGAAAGTCAGCTTGTATGTGACTTCTCGACTTACGAGCGTGTTTTTCCATGTGCCTAACAAAGATCGCATGTAAAGAAAATATCTGTACTATTTCTTACTTTGACAGATAAGGCATTGATTGAAATGATTTTACTGAAGATTTTTAATTTCCTGCTAAAAAGCTCTGAACTCCCACAATGACAACGCCTTTCGAACAATTCAATCACCTTTTTTGACCTTTGATCTAAAAATTGATATTGCCCAAGATGAAAGTGCAGTAGAACGTGCAGAACAGCCACACTGCTCTCGCATTTTTAGATAAAATAAAAATCTTTTTTGATATTACACTCCATAATTATTAACGAGGTTGAGTTAGCACTGGCATCCCTTCAGTACTTCGGAAACTCTTTGCCTCCGTGCAGCTGCGAAAAAACATTCCCGTTAAGGTAAAGTAGAATGTTTCTTTCTTTAATGCTAAAACGATAAATCTGCAGCTAATGATAATGAAACAACCAATTTTTTTTACGTTGGAAAATTGGCTTCATCAGCATAATATCAAATCTATTCAGGGGTTACACCTCAGGTGAGTTTCTTTTAATTAGCAACTAGCTCCTTATTAATTTGTCTGCTGTTTTAATCTATCTGTTTAGATTTATATCTTAAGCAAAATTTACTCTGAACTTGTCGATTACACTTTGAATGGATCTTTTCCGGAGTCAGGAGATTAGCCCTTCGTTGTTGGCTAAACTTTACGGCTGGAGAATAGAGTATTGACACAAAGGTCGTTTTTTTTACTCCATCATTGCTGCTTTGAAAACACGCTTTGAGGTATGTTCAACGGCGTGACAGCAGTTTTACTAGTTTCTTGAAACAAAATTGGAGTTACTGTAATAACTTTAGAAAAGACCGAGTTCAGCTTCCACGGAAGTGGTCGGATGCAGATATCATATAACACAATTAAATATCAATTAAATTTCAACAAAAATTGTTGAAAACTCTTTTGATACTTCAATTAAAGCGGGTAGTCACATACTCATACCAACTGGTTCTGTTGACTTGATCGAATAAGATTTAAGCAGTGCGCTTTTAACCACATAGAAACCTGCATCAAATTAAATCAATCAATTTGTAGGATTGTTATGACGTGGGATGGGGCTACCCCGAGTGTCTGAGCCGGATGCTCATGTGTGAAAAGCATGACAATAAAAATAATTTAAAAAGATTAAAAATGTATAAAAACAAATAAAAATCATTATATCCAGGAATTTTAAGTAAGAAATACTCAAAGTGACACCCTCCTGCGAAAGTTAACATTGAAGTCAAGCTGCTTCAACCCATAAGACTTATGTATTAGGATAGAAAAAGGCAAAAATAAACTTTTCCTTATTAAGGGGCAAGTCTGGTTGTATTTTGGGGGGAAATGGGGTTGATTTAGAATCTTAAAACAATAAGGTTGGAAAAAGGTATGGACTTAAATGTGCAGGCTAACAATTCTTTAGATCTCAAAAAAAAAAAAAAAACGGGAAGAGCAGACCAAGATTCGTTCTTTTTTCGTTTTAAGTGTATAGTATAAGCACGAACTCTTATTGCTGATTTTATGCGCTTCTTTTAAGTGTTTTTTTTTTTTCGACTTTGTAACACTTCAAAGTGCCAAAAATTTGATTTCCTAGAACTAGGGTGAATCTACGGTTATTTTGTTCTCAAAACCTAGTTTTCTATTGTAGATCAATTTTCTAATCGTAAACAAAACTGATAAATATAATATTGAAAACTCTGTTCTGATTTTTTGGTCGAAACAAGCCGCAGTGTTAATATCAAATAGTTTAATATTACCGATAAGTGCCTTTCCCATAACTCTGGACAAAAAACTCAGTTATCTTCTTTTCAACGTGCTGAAATGTTAACTCGCGATAAAAAAAAAGAACATTAAATCTTGCATACTTACAAAGCAAACCCTTGATGAGTGTCAGCTTGTATTGTGACTGCTCGACTTAGGCACGTATTTTCCATGAGCCTCTGAACAAAGATCAAAAGTGAAGAAATCTGTCCTATTCTTCCTTGTTTAGTTTGTATTTATGAAGGACATGAACGCGTTAAAAGTAATGAGTTTTAATGAAGACCTGGTTTTGCGGGAAGTTCTTTGACAAAAAGCTCTGAAATCCCACAATGGCAACGCCTATCGTGCAACTCATTAACCTTTAATCAAAATATTAAGGGTCATTCTCAGTTAATATTGTCCAAGATAACAGAGAGGTAAAACGTGCTTAACAGCCACATTGCCGTTGCCTTTCGTGAGTAAACAACCCTTGATATTATACACCGATTATTGGTTAAATTAGCAGCCCTCACTATCTCTACTTCATTTTGCCTCCTCACAACCAAGGGAAAGTTGAGGTATAGTAGAAGGTTTCTTGCTTTAAGGATAAGTCGTGTAGAAAGTGACAATTTGAC